TGTCTGGCTGAAACAGCTGTCTGAGGTGAGCTAATCTACACAACAAACAAAGCTCAGGATCAGTTTTCACAACATTAAATGAAGTGACGCTTGTTTAAAGAAATCATTTGAAATTATGCCAGAGTTACGTACAGTATGTAATCCTGTTCAGCGAACAGCATTCCTCTTGGATATCCAGTCAGTTACTTTAGTGCGAGTGTCAAATCGACCTGGAAACCTGATGAACCTCACCTCACCTCAAAATCAAGAGAAAATATTGAGTATTGATGATGATAATAATAATAAATGTTTGTTGAGCAGCAAATCAGCATATTAGAATGATTTCTGAAGGATCATGTGACACTGAAGACTGGGAATTCAGCTTTGAGCACAGGAGTAAATTACATTTTATAATATATTACAATAGAAAACAGTTATGTTGAATTGTAGTCATCATATTTCACAATATTATAGTTTTTCCTGTATTTTTGATCAAATAAATGCAGTATTGCTGAGCATGGAGACTTCTTTCTGAAACATTAGAAAATCTTGAACCAACCCCAAACTTTTGTAGTGTAAATATATATATATATAATGGTTTTATAAATATATTAATAGTCCTAAGCATTTCATTTTCTTTCACTCTAATGGGACAATAATCTGCCCGCAGCATGTATTGCTGAGCATGGAGACTTCTTTCTGAAACATTAGAAAATCTTGAACCAACCCCAAACTTTTGTAGTGTAAATATATATATATAATGGTATTATAAATATATTAATAGTCCTAAGCATTTCATTTTCTTTCACTCTAATGGGACAATAATCTGCCCGCAGCATGTGACAATTAAGTGCATTATTTTTGGATACATCCGAATGCCATTGTAATTCACTATTATACAATATTAATGGTCCATGGTAAAAGGGCTTGTGAGAATTTAATCATAATGATAAAACCATAAAGAAAAAATAAACACTAAGAAAACGAGGAGCTGCTGAACAATTTGTCCCCCTGCTGTAAATTTATGCGAGAACGTGAGAGTGTGATGAAATTAAATGTGTGCGAGAGAAAAAAAAAAGGAAAGAAACCGAGAGGATCAGAGGGGAATGTACTGTAATATTAGTATTGATTCATGTATTCAAGTCTAAACGTCAGTGGTTCACTGTAAACTGCAGTTAGACAAAAATGTGATAATAGGTGTTTGAAATCAAACATGAGGCACAAAGGAAAGGCTGAATCACTGTGTGGAGTATAATGGGAGACGATGCCCACTAGTGGAAACAGTACTGAACAACCTCCTGTGTTGCTTTCATTAAAGGAGCACTCCACTATTTTTGAAAATAGGCTCATTTTCCAGCTCCCCTAGAGTTAAACAGTTGAGTTTTACCGTTTTCGAATTCATTCAGCTGATCTCCGGGTCTGGCGGTAGCACTTTTAGCTTAGCTTAGCATAGATCATTGAATCTGATTAGACCGTTAGCATCTCGCTCAAAAATGACCAAAGATTTTCTGTATTTTTCCTATTTAAAACTTGACTCTTCTGTAGTTACATCGTGTACTAAGACCGACGGAAAATGAAAAGTTGTGATTTTCTAGGCCGATATGGCTAGGAACTATACTCTCATTCCGGCGTAATAATCAAGGAACTTTGTTGCCGTACCATAGGTGCAGCAGGCGCAATGATATTACGCAGCACCTGAAAATAGGCTAACTTCCGTCAACATAAACAACGTGACCACCTGCTTGCACAGGGAGCGTGCTGGGGACTATTTTCAGGCGCTGTGTAATATCACTGCGCCTGCTGCACCCATAGTACAGCTCTTATTACGCCAGAATGAGAGTATAGTTCCTAGCCATATCGGCCTAGAAAATCACAACTTTTCATAGACTGTATTCCTTCTAAAAAATAAATAAATAAAAAAAACAAGAAAGAAGAAATGGTTGATGGTTTGAAAAAAAGACCTAATAGCCTACTACCTAATTAGATGATGCGGAATTAAAATATCAATAAAACCTTTCCATCACATACTGTTTTTCACAAAATAAGAATAAATAATCTTATTTAAAAAGCAGAAAACATCTGGCTCATGTTTGTGTTTTATAATTCAAACACTGAAATCAGGGTTAGGCATAACTCCATGTCTTTAGAATCATTCATACATGTGAAAATCGTTTGAGAATTGAGCAAATAGTTTAACTCTGGCTCAAAGGAAGACAGGAATCATGTGTTTGTAGCAGTTTTTTTTTTCTGCTGTTAAGGGATGATAAATATTCACCGTACGAATCTTCGAAAACGATAATGCTACAAAATTATATTTTGTAAGAAAGTGTAACTAGCAAGATCAAAACAGCCATTGTTTTTGGAATCAGCACCCCAAAATGAGTAATACTATGATTTCTGGCATAAGTTACAGCTGATGAAATGATTGATTAAAACATTACAATTAAGTAAAAGTTCGTTCTGATATTACTCATCAGCATATCTCTTCTCCAGTCTCTCAAAATGTCCAGATTTTCAATCCTCTTGCAGACACTCATTTAGATAACTAGGTGGCGACAGCATGTTGAAAATATACATATTTGCAAACTAGTGAACTGTTTGAAGAATGTGTGTGTGTGTGTACTATTACATATGTGTATAGGCAGTGCTGGGTAGTAACAGATTACATGTAATCTGGATTATGTATTCCTATATTATATAATACTGGATCAGATTCCACTTGTAATTAGATATTACATTTAAAATACTCATTGATTACATGATTACATAATTATATAACAGCAATAGATGAATCATTATTTATTGATTCTCCATCATTTCCTTTTTCATTTTATCATCTACCGCTTATATACATTCAGAAAGTCGTCCAGTTTTGTGGAGATTCACACACAGACCAGTCACTTGACCTCTGGATTTACAAAAATCATTTCAGTTTGAAGAAGTGTTTTCAATGTCAGCATTGCATCTGATGAACACATTCATGTTTATTTGAATTATTACTGTGTTATTATCACAGGGGGTTAACCATTTATTACAATGCTTTTGGAGGGCTTTTGTCTTTCAAACATATTAAAATGCACAAATTCACGTTATTTCTTATTTACATGTAATGCAAGCATTCCCAAACTTTCACTTAATATGTGACCCTGGAGCACAAAAGCAGTCTTAAGTCGCTGGGGTATATTTGTAGCAATAGCCAAAAATACATTGTATGGGTCAAAATTATTGATTTTTCTTTTATACCAAAAATCATTAGGATATTAAGTAAAGATCATGTTCCATGAAGATATTTTGTAAATTTCCTTCCGTAAATATATTAAAACTTAATGAATTGATTATTAATATGCATCGCTAAGAACTTCATTTGGACAACTTTAAAGGTGATTTTCTCAATATTTTGATTTTTTTTGCACCCTCAGATTCCAGATATTCAAATAGTTGTATCTCTGCCAAATATTGTCCTAACAAACCATACATCAATGAAAAGCTTATTTATTCAGCTTTCAGATGATGTATATATATTGCCTAAAATATGTAATATACAGGGGTGCACATAAGTGGTGCGCATGCGTGACCAAAATAAAAAAATGCGTTTGGCGCATCGCATTGCATTGGCGTACCGACATGGTTGACAGCTGACCAATTACCATTTTAGATCGACAAAATGTAATACTGTATAAGATTTCTATTCAAACTGAATAGATAAATAAATCTAGGTGTTACAAATTCGGTCCATGGACTTCCGTTTATTCACCACCAGAGGTCACCCTTTCCATTACATTGACTCTCGCACAACACAAGCTGTTGCATAGCACCCCGGACTACATATCCCATCATTCATTGCACGGTTTGCACACTGCACTGACTGCACTCATTGCACACAGCTGTTTCTTATCACCTCACTCA